ACTGCTGATATATAGGAGGACTGATATTACGTAACAGTTCAGTATATTTTTCTATGTTTCTGTTGTTTCAAGTCTCTTCTTCATCTGTGAGGAGATTGTCCAGCATTCACTGCCATATAGGAGGACTGATATTACGTAACAGTTCAGTACATTTTTTCTATGTTTCTGTTGATTCAAGTCTCTTCTTCATCTGTGAGGAGATTGTCCAGCATTCACTGCCATATAGAAGGACTGATATTACGTAACAGTTCAGTATTTTTCTATGTTTCTTTGATTCAAGTCTCTTCTTCATCTGTGAGGAGATTGTCCAGTATTCACTGCCATATAGAAGGACTGATATTACGTAACAGTTCAGTATATTTTCTATGTTTCTGTTGCTTCAAGTCTCTTCTTCATCTGTGAGGAGATTGTCCAGCATTCACTGCCATATAGAAGGACTGATATTACGTAACAGTTCAGTATATTTTTCTATGTTTCTGTTGCTTCAAGTCTCTTCTTCATCTGTGAGGAGATTGTCCAGCATTCACTGCCATATAGAAGGACTGATATTACGTAACAGTTCAGTATATTTTTCTATGTTTCTGTTGATTCAAGTCTCTTCTTCATCTGTGAGGAGATTGTCCAGCATTCACTGCTATATAGGAGGACTGATATTACGTAACAGTTCAGTATATTTTTCTATGTTTCTGTTGATTCAAGTCTCTTCTTCATCTGTGAGGAGATTGTCCAGCATTCACTGCCATATAGGAGGACTGATATTACGTAAGAGTTCAGTACATTTTTCTATGTTTCTGTTGATTCAAGTCTCTTCTTCATCTGTGAGGAGATTGTCCAGTATTCACTGCCATATAGAAGGACTGATATTACATAACAGTTCAGTATATTTTTCTATGTTTCTGTTGCTTCAAGTCTCTTCTTCATCTGTGAGGAGATTGTCCAGTATTCACTGCCATATAGAAGGACTGATATTACGTAACAGTTCAGTATATTTTTCTATGTTTCTGTTGCTTCAAGTCTCTTCTTCATCTGTGAGGAGATTGTCCAGCATTCACTGCCATATAGAAGGACTGATATTACGTAACAGTTCAGTATATTTTTCTATGTTTCTGTTGCTTCAAGTCTCTTCTTCATCTGTGAGGAGATTGTCCAGCATTCACTGCCATATAGGAGGACTGATATTACGTAACAGTTCAGTATATTTTTCTATGTTTCTGTTGCTTCAAGTCTCTTCTTCATCTGTGAGGAGATTGTCCAGCATTCACTGCTATATAGGAGGACTGATATTACGTAAGAGTTCAGTACTCTTTTCTTTGTTTCTGTTGCTTCAAGTCTCTTCTTCATCTGTGAGGAGATTGTCCAGTATTCACTGCCATATAGAAGGACTGATATTACGTAACAGTTCAGTATATTTTTCTATGTTTCTGTTGCTTCAAGTCTCTTCTTCATCTGTGAGGAGATTGTCCAGCATTCACTGCCATATAGAAGGACTGATATTACGTAACAGTTCAGTATATTTTTCTTTGTTTCTGTTGCTTCAAGTCTCTTCTTCATCTGTGAGGAGATTGTCCAGCATTCACTGCCATATAGGAGGACTGATATTACGTAACAGTTCAGTATATTTTTCTTTGTTTCTGTTGCTTCAAGTCTCTTCTTCATCTGTGAGGAGATTGTCCAGCATTCACTGCTATATAGGAGGACTGATATTACGTAACAGTTCAGTATACTGTTTTTCTTCATGTTTCTGTTGATTCAAGTCTCTTCTTCATCTGTGAGGAGATTGTCCAGTATTCACTGCCATATAGAAGGACTGATATTACATAACAGTTCAGTATATTTTTCTATGTTTCTGTTGCTTCAAGTCTCTTCTTCATCTGTGAGGAGATTGTCCAGTATTCACTGCCATATAGAAGGACTGATATTACGTAACAGTTCAGTATTTTTTCTATGTTTCTGTTGCTTCAAGTCTCTTCTTCATCTGTGAGGAGATTGTCCAGCATTCACTGCCATATAGAAGGACTGATATTACGTAACAGTTCAGTATATTTTTCTATGTTTCTGTTGCTTCAAGTCTCTTCTTCATCTGTGAGGAGATTGTCCAGCATTCACTGCCATATAGGAGGACTGATATTACGTAACAGTTCAGTATATTTTTTCTATGTTTCTGTTGATTCAAGTCTCTTCTTCATCTGTGAGGAGATTGTCCAGCATTCACTGCTATATAGGAGGACTGATATTACGTAACAGTTCAGTATATTTTTCTATGTTTCTGTTGCTTCAAGTCTCTCTTCTTCATCTGTGAGGAGATTGTCCAGCATTCACTGCTATATAGGAGGACTGATATTACGTAACAGTTCAGTATATTTTTCTATGTTTCTGTTGATTCAAGTCTCTTCTTCATCTGTGAGGAGATTGTCCAGTATTCACTGCCATATAGAAGGACTGATATTACATAACAGTTCAGTATATTTTTCTATGTTTCTGTTGCTTCAAGTCTCTTCTTCATCTGTGAGGAGATTGTCCAGTATTCACTGCCATATAGAAGGACTGATATTACGTAACAGTTCAGTATATTTTCTATGTTTCTGTTGCTTCAAGTCTCTTCTTCATCTGTGAGGAGATTGTCCAGCATTCACTGCCATATAGAAGGACTGATATTACGTAACAGTTCAGTATATTTTTCTATGTTTCTGTTGCTTCAAGTCTCTTCTTCATCTGTGAGGAGATTGTCCAGCATTCACTGCTATATAGGAGGACTGATATTACGTAACAGTTCAGTATATTTTTTTCTATTTTTCTATGATTTACGTAACAGTTTATATTCAAGTCTCTTCTTCATCTGTGAGGAGATTGTCCAGCATTCACTGCTATATAGGAGGACTGATATTACGTAAGAGTTCAGTACATTTTTCTATGTTTCTGTTGATTCAAGTCTCTTCTTCATCTGTGAGGAGATTGTCCAGTATTCACTGCCATATAGAAGGACTGATATTACATAACAGTTCAGTATATTTTTCTATGTTTCTGTTGCTTCAAGTCTCTTCTTCATCTGTGAGGAGATTGTCCAGTATTCACTGCCATATAGAAGGACTGATATTACGTAACAGTTCAGTATATTTTTCTATGTTTCTGTTGCTTCAAGTCTCTTCTTCATCTGTGAGGAGATTGTCCAGCATTCACTGCCATATAGAAGGACTGATATTACGTAACAGTTCAGTATATTTTTCTATGTTTCTGTTGCTTCAAGTCTCTTCTTCATCTGTGAGGAGATTGTCCAGCATTCACTGCTATATAGGAGGACTGATATTACGTAACAGTTCAGTATATTTTTCTATGTTTCTGTTGATTCAAGTCTCTTCTTCATCTGTGAGGAGATTGTCCAGCATTCACTGCTATATAGGAGGACTGATATTACGTAAGAGTTCAGTACATTTTTCTTTTGTTTCTGTTGATTTCAAGTCTCTTCTTCATCTGTGAGGAGATTGTCCAGTATTCACTGCCATATAGAAGGACTGATATTACATAACAGTTCAGTATATTTTTCTATGTTTCTGTTGCTTCAAGTCTCTTCTTCATCTGTGAGGAGATTGTCCAGCATTCACTGCCATATAGGAGGACTGATATTACGTAACAGTTCAGTACATTTTCTATGTTTCTGTTGATTCAAGTCTCTTCTTCATCTGTGAGGAGATTGTCCAGCATTCACTGCCATATAGAAGGACTGATATTACATAACAGTTCAGTATATTTTTCTATGTTTCTGTTGCTTCAAGTCTCTTCTTCATCTGTGAGGAGATTGTCCAGTATTCACTGCCATATAGAAGGACTGATATTACGTAACAGTTCAGTATATTTTTCTATGTTTCTGTTGCTTCAAGTCTCTTCTTCATCTGTGAGGAGATTGTCCAGCATTCACTGCCATATAGAAGGACTGATATTACGTAACAGTTCAGTATATTTTTCTATGTTTCTGTTGATTCAAGTCTCTTCTTCATCTGTGAGGAGATTGTCCAGTATTCACTGCCATATAGAAGGACTGATATTACGTAACAGTTCAGTATATTTTTCTATGTTTCTGTTGCTTCAAGTCTCTTCTTCATCTGTGAGGAGATTGTCCAGCATTCACTGCTATATAGGAGGACTGATATTACGTAAGAGTTCAGTATATTTTTCTATGTTTCTGTTGCTTCAAGTCTCTTCTTCATCTGTGAGGAGATTGTCCAGCATTCACTGCTATATAGGAGGACTGATATTACGTAACAGTTCAGTATATTTTTCTATGTTTCTGTTGATTCAAGTCTCTTCTTCATCTGTGAGGAGATTGTCCAGTATTCACTGCCATATAGAAGGACTGATATTACGTAACAGTTCAGTATATTTTTCTATGTTTCTGTTGATTCAAGTCTCTTCTTCATCTGTGAGAAGATTGTCCAGCATTCACTGCCATATAGAAGGACTGATATTACATAACAGTTCAGTACTATTTCCTTTGTTTATGCAAAAGAATTGCAGAGAGAAAACAAGTGTGTTCAAGAGTTATACGTTGCTTAGAGCTATAAACAGACAGGAAGTCGTGGAAAGCCACATCCGTCCACATTCTGAAGAGAAATTGCATATAAATGGTGTCGATGCAAACTGCAAGCAAGAAATTAAACGCAACAGTCAGTATTTTTTTCATGGCCAACCACCGAACTATTTGAGTTTCATTTTGTAAAAATTGAATCTTTCTGATTTTCGCTTACGAGAAATGCAACTGAGATCGTTAAAAACTTTTCTGTGGTGATGTGTGCTTTGCCACTTTCAGTCACCCAATTGCGCAGAATTTCTTGAAACGTTATCTTTATTTTAATTCCACGATTATTTTCTAGTCGTGGAACTCATAAGGAACTTTTTGGGTTTAATTAAAAGACTTAAAAGATAGCGAAAATTATTTTTCAATATTTGATATTGAAGCATACAGAAATACGCTAATATTCTTGCTAAATTCTTTTTTATACTTGTAGAGCCTTGTAAGAAATATCAGGAAATCCGTGACAACGACCGAAGCATCTTGTCGGGTCCTGGAAATAAATGTGATAAACATCTTACACATGGTTGGTACAGATTCTATATTGACGACGAATCAGCCATAATACCTACACAGTGCATCAAGGTGAGCATCTTACATAACACTACACTTATCTCTTTCTTTCTCACTCACATACCCTATAGAATCCTGGTCACGGCACCATTTTATAGAAATTGCATTAATTCATGACGGAGATGACCGACTTAGAATGAATTTAATTTTGGTGAAGTATCTAGAGATTTAGAGCAAAACTCCAGAAGGTGTACCCCGCTAATCGTCTAACGTAAGACTATATTTCTCACTTTGTCACGTATACACCTTTTTATTATTAAATATGAAATAAAGTATAATATAATTTTTTATTAACCAAAATAGTGCACATTTAACAATTTTGATTAACTGATAAATATTCATTGCACGATCTTTATATTATGCGTGAATTTTTTCACTGGTACAGCTGGTTAACTATAATTTTTACAAGAAATGGATATGCAAGAAAAGCCTTTAGCATGAGGTTTTATCTAAAATTAGATATGGACACCAGATTTCCCTACCAGCTTCTCGAACCGCCCAGAAATCAAGCCAACTGATTTCACCAGGAACTCTTGTGGTATGAAAGAATATAACTTCTTGTATTCGCCCTTCAAGTTCTTCCAAAGTCTTGGTTTGGTGTAGTAGACTTGCTCCTTTAACCAATTCCAAAGAAAAACTTCATGAAGTGTTAAGTCAGAACTCATGGCTGGCTACTCATATATAAAATAGGGAGTTACTTTTCAATCTCCATGTACATTTAGATGTCAATTCCAGAATAACTTTTATGAGCAACAACATGTGCTTCTCAATATATAGCTGGTGGGACATGAAAAAAAATGACCCATTATTTAAACATAAATTGAAACATACCCATTCGTAAAAATACTTTCAAATTTTGCATAATGCTTCTTAAAATTATTTTCTTATTATGTACACTTTAATTAAATATGGCTGTACATTGAAAAATAGCAAATATAAAGAATTGTGAGGTGATATTTTTTAAGCAAATCACCCCAAGCAAGGCGTAAGTGGCACTAGCACGCAAGGGGTTACAGTAAGAGTAAGAGTATAGAGGAGTGTTGCGAAAAGGATAAAACAAAGGACAGGGGTCAAGGTCAAGTAATCAGAAGATGTCGATTGACATTACATTTGAATATTTGAAGATGCCAAACTAGTAGCACGCTTAAATTCATGCAGTTTGGGAACCAATGAAAGTAGCTTGGTATATAAATTCAGTTACGGTCGTGACCACGTCAGCGGTGGACCGGGCAAAGCGGGAACCTATTGCTTGCCTGAAAGCAGATCATGGAATTTTAGTTGCTTAACCATTTCGGCGTTGATTAAAGCCTCGAAGACTTTGCTGAAGAGTAGGAGAATGATAAGACGGTAGTTAGATGGGTCAGAAGGGTCATCAGTGTTCTTAAAGACAGGGGCAACAGTCTGGAAAGCACGAGTCAGTGAGGCAATTGTTATATAGCTTGGAGAGAACTGGTAGTTGGACGTTTGCAAAAAAAAATGTTTTTTGATCCGTGAGAAAAGTTTCAAGAGGAGCAAACAAGCTGCCCAAATGAAATTCCATAAAGAAACCGTTCAGTTCGTAGCAGGGGTGTCATTGAAGCCGTCAAGAAGAGGGTGGAAATAAATCCACGAAGAAGCATAAAGAAGATGGCAAAAGAGCTGTATATTTCGAACAGGTCGCTAATGGGGATTGCGAAAGAGGATTTAAAGTCTAAAAACCACACAAGATTCAACGATCATAACTTCTCTTAAATGCCTTCAAGTAAAAACTTCTTGGCAGAAGGTGGAAAATGGTAAAGGACATGCCGTAGACGAAGTCTTCGATTACGTTGATGAAACATTTTTCAGTGTGGAGGCTGTGGTCATCTATCAAACTATAGGATTTACGCCACCCACCAAGAAACATCTCAGAAAGAGTCAGAAAAGATCTCAAGCGACAGAAACTAATTGGTATCAGGGTTTGGACTACTGTTGCTTTTGATTATTCGAAATCGCCCTTGGTGTTGATTTTAGGAGAAGTGAAAGGGACTAGAAGTTTACGAGTAAATATCGGGGAGTAATGTGTTGCCCTGGTTGTTAGGTACATTTCAAACTTGCAGACTTCACTCAAGACAGATCTCCAGTCTGCACGACCAATTTGATGCAGAACTGATGCAAGACATTTCCGTGGTTTTTTGACAAGTTAATTCGATCTCCATCAAGCTCTGACATTAATCCTATGAACTTTTGACCTATATTAAAATGCAATGCTTTTTGCATCCCATACTCAAGTGCGTCAAACCTGAAATAAGACCTTATCATGTTGTATAATAAAAGTTCACAATCCAATTCTACATATACACGCACGCAGTCTCCTCGCAAAAACCTCCATTATTTAGCGCATGGATACATGTATTTATGACACAAGGCCGAAGGTTTAAGTGGGGAAAGGTTAGTTGGCATTGTCTATCTTATTCCAAATGAATCAACTCTTTTCCTGCGTCCTGGGTAAGACGATAAACTACGTCCAGCAGCAAGTCCTCTGATCAGAAGGTTTTGAGGAGCGTGGAACCACTCTTAATTGCTGATTTTCCCAGGTCCACCCTGACCCGGGGTGGTAGCACATGTTAGGGTCCCAGATATGGGCAAATAGTTGACTATTACCAGCAATACTTTTTTGAAAAAATTATTACCAGCAATACAATTTTGAAGGAAAAATATTACCAGAAACAGATTTTTGGCGAAACAAAATATTACCAGCAATAACAAATTTTGTCGGCATTAAATAAACCATTGAGGTTGATATGCCGTAAAATAAACCAAACCAAACCAATCCATAGCAAAGAATACATATTCTATTCATACGAATCTATCCTAAAAATGTCGACATTAAATAACCCATTGAGGTTGATATGCCGTAAAACAAAATAAACCAAACTAATCTAAACAAAAGAATGCATATTCTATTCATACGAATCTATCCTAAAAATGTTGTCGGCATTAAATAATCCATTGAGGTTGATATGCTGTAAAACAAAATAAACCAAACCAAACCAACTCTCTTCCTATTCACTGTAACAATTGAGACAATCACCACAAGAACCAGTCCTTCTCCAGCCAATCCTAACATGTACCATAATACCACATTTTCACAGGGGACCTAATAAAAGTCGTATGCTGATAAAAATTTCTGAATATATACATATTTATTACAAAAATACATAAAACTTTCCACATGAAATGAAGGTCGAGGGTTGAAGCCATTAACCAAAAAAAAAAGAAAATAAAACATTCAAATGAAAATCAAACTATGTTATTAGTAGTGACCCGTTGAAATCACCAAAAAATAAGTGTGGCCACTGTATTCTGCCGATAAACAGAATCAAGAAGGTCACTTGTTAATGGCGGAGGACGCACGGAAATCAATTTTGGAGTGGGGAAGTATAATAGGCTGGTTCAAAAATGGGGTGATAAGTTTATGTATTGATTGTAATATAAAATTGATCCCCCACTTTATGTCTACATTATAATTTCTTGTCGGCATGTCTTCTAGATGTCTTCAGACATGCGAATGGTCTTGTCAAATTCTCTTTGATTCACAGTCATCTCCGCCACTGCTACCAATTGGGGTAGGGTGGGGGGAGAATGGGAATAGAGAGAGCGGACGACGATCCCGATCTTTGAATGCTAGAGAGGTGCCGACAAATTATTGAGATCATCGAGTTCATAACTTTACCTAATTCAACTTTACCTGTTATCCCAAATTCCAAAACACTATTAAAAAGAGAGAGAGGAAAACACAATTAAAAAGAGAGAGAGGAAAACACAATTAAAAAGAGAGAGAGGAAAACACTATTAAAAAGAGACAGAAAACACTATTAAAGAGAGAGAGGAAAACTCTATTAAAAAGAGAGAGGAAAACACTATTAAAGAGAGAGAGGAAACTATTAAAAAGAGAGAGAACAATTAAGGAAAAGGAACATGAATTAAGAAGACAGAAGATAACGATTGACATGGCATTTAAATTTTTAACGATCGAAGTTGATTGAAAAGCAAGAAGCCTGTAATTATTACTATGTTAGAAAAATAATAATAGATAATATATTTAATTTAATGTTTCAAAAAATACATTTACTAATACTAATGAGAAATCTTAAAGAACTGTTATTTGTAAGTAGCGTCTCATGATACTAGTCATAAAGGCTGGCCGTAAATCATCTTGTCATTTTTAATAGATAATATTTCTTTAAATCTTTTAACGGTTGACATTGCATTTAAATTTTTGAAGATCGAATTAGATTGGAAAAGAAGAAGCGTGTCATTATTATTATTATGTTATAAAAATAATAATAATAGTCAGTTAGTTATGTGCCATGCGTGACACACGATTAGGCGATCATGTATCTTTCGATACATGACTGACGAGGCATATTTTTTCCCGCCGCAATAGGTTGCCATTTCTTTCTGCGGTAGATTAGTTGCCATCCAAGGCTACAGAACCCGGTCGTAGCTGCTTGTGGGGGGGGGGTCCTACCTTTCTCAAGAATATTACTTTTGGCCTTGTGCCACATCTAAGCTACGCTTAGAAAATCAACATTAGTAGTTTTAGTTGGTTCAGTTTATTTTAAAAGTGGACCCCAAAATTTTCAAGTTACAAAATTCAAAATTCAGTAGTGTTTGGTTTTCAAATGTCGTCTAGTCTAATAATCATAAACACACGATATGACCCCCCCCACACACACACACACACAAAAAAAAAAATTCTCGCATTATTCTGGCTTAAATATTGAACACTCAACTCCTAGGTAACCAAATATTTTTAATTGATATTTTAAGTAGGTAAATCGTCAGGATGACCCATAGCATTCCACCTGTTTTTTCTGGTGATCTCCCGTAGTTCCCATGTCGGAATGTTTACGTATGAAGTGTCTTTTGAAGAGCACCCTTTCAGTACAATGCCAAATCTAATCTGTTAGATTCTGTCAGAGACCACATCCAGCATCTTGCTAACCGATATCTTCACTATAACACTGGCAAGCCTGTGTTTTTGTGTGCTATGCCTTACCAGAGGACAACCCACGATTTGGTGGTTGTGGTTTTCTAATCAGAATTGTCCTTCTCTGGTTACCAACAACAGCTAGAGACCTCAGTCTTCACTTCTATTTTATAAATAGCTAGTGGGGAGAAATTGATTCATACCCTTTCCCAAGATGATTTGTGCATAATTGACTGCAAGGAACTCGACTAGAATTTGAACTCTGCTTTCCATTGTCTCATTCCGAGCTACCATTCACTACGTCATCCGCACATTTCCGCTGCAATTTGATCTTATTTTGATGAATCTGGTTTGTGGGCATAAAAATGTTCATCTACCTTACATCTACAGACAACCTAGTAGAGTTTTCCTCATAGACTACAATGATTTCTTTTTTTCAGCCTGGATTTTGTGGTGCAGTCATTGGAATGCACGTCAATTTAAATGGAGCATCGATGCCTGCAGAAGGTGAGACGATATCTGCTGTGGCCTGCGGGTCCTATTCGATCCTGGATCACTGGTCTTGCTGTGCCCTCCAACAGGATATCCATATTCGACATTGCCCCGGCAATTTCTATATTTACAAGCTCAAACCGACTGACAGGTGCCCCGTTTCCTATTGTACTGTGAAAAGTAAGTAATCGAATTTTATTTTCCCGGTAATAATATTGCAAAGTAATGGGTAACTTGGACTGGATTTATGCTTTGTATGCTAGTCTAGTTGACAAACTAGTTTAACAAACGTATTCATACCCCGGATCCCCCTCCTGCTTTTTGCAGGGGGGGCGAGGTCTGCTGAAAGGACGATTTTTTCTCTTGACATTTACTATGACTGTATACTCTCTCAGCAATTTTTTTATAAGAGCTTTTTTTTTTCATTTCACCCTAAGCGAGTCAAGCCACTAAGACACAAGGGGTTACTGAGTGTGAGAGAGGAAAGCACTATTAAAAAGAGATAGGAAAACAATATTAAAAAGAGAGAGAAAACACTATTAAAGAGAGAGAGGAAAACTATTAAAAAGAGAGAAAAACACTATTAAAGAGAGAGAGGAAAACTATTAAAAAGAGAAAAACACTATTAAAAATAGACAGAGGAAAACACTATTAAAAAGAGACAGAGGAAAACACTATTAAAAAGAGAGAGAAAACACTATTAAAAAGAGAGAGAAAAACGCTATTAAAAAGAGATAGGAAAACACTATTAAAGAGAGAGAGAGAAAAACACTATTTAAAAGAGAGAAAAAAACACTATTAAAAAGAGAGAGAACAATTAAGGAAAAGGAACATGAATTAAGAAGACAGAAGATAACGATTGACATGGCATTTAAATTTTTAAAGATCGCAGTTGACTGGAAAGCAAGAAGCCTGTAATTATTACTATGTTAGAAAAATAATAGTTATATTTAATTTAATGTTTAAAAACAATACATTTACTAATACTAGTGAGAAATCCTAAAGAACTGTTATTTGTAAGTAGCGTCTCATGATACTAGTCATAAAGGCTGACCGTAAATCATCTTGTCATTTTTAATGGATAATATTTCTTTAAATCTTTTAACAGTTGACATTGCAATTAAATTTTTGAAGATCGAATTAGATTGGAAAGCAAGAAGCCTGTCATTATCATTATGTTATAAAAATAATAATAATAGTCCGTTAGTTATGTGCCATGCGTGACACACGATTAGGCGATCATGTATCTTTCGATACATGACTGACGAGGCAGATTTTTTCCCGCCGCAATAGGTTGCCATTTCTTTATGCGGTAGATTAGTTGCCATCCAAAGCTACAGAACCCGCTCGTAGCTGGTGGGGGGATTTTCCAAGAGTATTACTTTTGGCCTTGCTATGCTTCGAAAATAAACATGAGTAGTTTAAGTTGGTCCAGTTTATTTTAAAAGTGGACCCCAAAATTTACAAGTTACAAAATTCAAAATTTAGTAGCGTTTGGTTTTCAAATGTCGTCCAATCTAGTAATCATAATCACAAGCCTGATTTCTCAAGTAATATGGATGAAAAAATTGATGGATGACTTAGATGTAAAATAATTCTGATCGTCCATTTCATGACCGTTTGTTTGATGATCTACAAGCAGGATTACCAGTTTGAGCTACCAAGTAACGAATTAAGCAGGGTTTAAATGCCCAGAGACTTTAAAATGTTGAACTACCCAGCTTTTCAGTTAAAGCCTAAGGTAGCCAAGCTTATTTGAAAAGTAATTCTAAATGTCACAAAAAGTGAAATTCAAAATTTAGTAGTGATGGTTTTTAAAAAATAACCATTTTTAAAATTTCGAATAGAGATTCGTTTGAAATCAATTATGGCGAAAAGTGAGGGATCAGTGCATTATTTAATTGTAAAACAAAATTGATCTTTTGCTTAATAAAAGTTCATTTTTAATGAAATATTGAAGATCTACAAGTAAGATCGTTAGATTGAGCTACGAAATAACGAATTCAGCTACAGTTAGTACCACTAAATTTACTACAGTCTAGCACTACTAAATTTAGAAATGACTTAATTCTCACTAGTAGTCAAAGTTGGCTCACCTTATTTTTAAAAGCAGTTCTAAAAGATCTAAAGAATCGAATTTCAAAACGTAATAGCATTCGGGTTTCAACATTTGGCCAGTCTTGCAAACCTTGCCTTCACAAGCCCCACCAATAAAATGGATAGAAAGAATCTATCGACTATCTATATTTCTCATGTTGTCTGTCTGTGTGTCTGTCGTGGGCGTTGTTACTTCGCTCAGGCCGCATTTCTCACCCGATTTCGATGCGGTTTTTACCACAAGTTTGCAAATGGCTGCCTTAAGGACATGACGCAGCCCGATTTTTCAGTTCGAACTCAGGTTCCGAAAAAATCGATAATCGAAAAAATCTGCTTACAGAAGGAATTATTGCATTTCAACCAAATTTGACACCCTCTTAGAGTCTACCTTTAGAAGTGTTGTCCAGAAGTTTCATGACCACGGACCCCTAAACAGCGCGGAAAATCGATAAAACCCAAAAGCCGATACGCCCAGATTGCACCTGAACCGCATGTTAGTTTTTAGCGAAAACCGAGCGTATTTATGAGGAGGCCATTGGGAGTCACCATGTGAAGTTTCAACCCTGAGCGCCCCCAAACAGAGTGCAAATGGACAATCGGTCAACCCTTAAAAATGTTTTTCCGGTTGGGTATTTCCTAAATGCAGATTAATTTAAGGTCACACTATGCGCGGGAAGAAACAGGTTAGTGCGTGCAGTGCTGTATGAGTCGTACGATTTTTGAATCAAGCACGGGCAACGCCGGGCCATGCTTCTAGTAGTAAATATTTTGTTTAATTTTGAAACATTTACTATTATAGTTCGTTATTTGTGGCGTTCGATTTGGGCCTTGTTAAGATTAGCCCACTACAAGAGATGTATGAATGAGTAAATAAAACACGATAAACTAAATCTTAAGAACAAGTAAACCTGGAGTATAACAATAATAATTTATAAACATTAATAAATAGTTTTGCAATGTACAAAAACAGTACTAATGTTCATTAATGGTACAAGGTTTGTATTTAAGTAAGATTAAATAAAATGTTTGTTTATTTGTTACATTTCAATGAATACAAGAGTTTGTAAAAGTACTAGTTAAAGTGTTTTCGAGAGTTGCTCGTTTAATTTGGTAATATGTCCTGTGAATAAGAAAAAAGAGGTAGAATGTATGAGAGAAATAAAGGGGGTGAACATGACAAGAAAGACGTGAGGAGTGATTGTGGTTGTTGAAGCCGACATGCCTTTGATTTATCCGCTCACAGTTGTAAGTGTTTATCTCTCCGTGTCTTCTCTGTGTGTCACCTCTTGGAATCTCTCTTATTTTTTTTCTTTTAGACAGGGGTCTATTTATATTGTCAGCGAACTTGAAAGAGGCTCCGATTAATTTGTTGATTATTTCATGCGCGCTCATTTCTTAATGGCCAGCATATATTAATTTGGGCTTGTATTTAATAAACTTCAACCGGTGGTTATGCGTGGAGTCAATTGCGCAAAGGCCTAAATATGTCATCATGTCTTCAGCTATGACAGAGGTAACTTCCTGCTTCTACTCTTAGTGTCACTATACTATATCTAAAACATTACTTCTTTTCAGATTCAACCAACATGGAATCCAAAGTAACTGTTCGCCATGGATACCATATTTCTCATGTAGATACGACAGTGGCTGAGATAACGACCCAACAAATAGAAACAACAGAGAGTCCAAATTACACTACAGGTCAGTACCAAGATGACACGATAATTGGCATTTTCATGACATCATATAGGGTTCGAACTAATGCTTGGCGGCTACAGTTGTTATTCCGTAGTGCACCGTCCCGAATGTGTCACTGTCTTATTTTCCATGGTTGTCTTCAATCAAATGCATCAAATCGCAATCTTTCTGTTTCATACTAAAACTCAAATCGGCCATCTTTTCAACACGAGGAAGGTTTTCTTGTAACTATAAATAGCACAGTGCATATAATCTGTATTGGCTACTTTTTGAGAGAAATTTGGAATTTTGCCGATTACTTGTCAACGGTGGAGAGGGTGAACGTCTCCTATTTTCAGCATTTGCAAACATATATGATACACGGTGATGCTTCTCACTGAAGAATGTTTGTAGGAAAACAATTCTTTTTTTTTTATACTATTTTCATTGTTCGGGCTGTTGTCCTCATCTTTATTGTCATATTCCTAAGATTTCGGTCATTGTATGCTCCGGCTTTCTTCTGATGATATGCGTTGGGATTTCAATCGAACCCTTTATTTCGTCCATCGGAGTAAATTGTCTAAGTAGCTATATTTTATTGGGTATCTCAATTTCAGTTGTCTCTCATCTTTAGTAACTCAACTCTCCAAGTTTTTTGTTCACCTCTGCTGTGGGCAGGGATTGAACTCACAATTGGGGGGGGGATTTATAAACCTACCGTTTTTGGTTTTTGCCAGAGCTCATATTACAATTTGTTTTTATAATTGTTTTTTTTCTCTGGAACTCTGTATTACTGGCTCCCATATTGTATTCATGTCTGTACTTGGCTGGCTTGAAAAGGGAGATAACTGAAACTGATATATTCAGTAAAGGCTTGTCGAAATAGATCAATCTACCCCGGTGGACGAAATGAAGAATTCGGTTTGAAATTCCAACTTATATTACCTGAAGAAAGCCGGAGTGTACAACGGCCGAAACGTTGGGAATATGACACTAAAGATGAGGACAATAGTCTGAACAATGTAAATAGTGTAACTAGTTACAATATCTCATCTCAGAAATATAGGCTGAATACTTTTTTTTTTACCAGGAAATATCATGTTCTCACTAACTGCTGATTTGTCAGTTTACGGGTCAATAAAAAGACACTGCTACGGCCTGATTCTTTTTCCTTTTTTTTGGGGGGGGGACTTGTGATCGTTGACTGACCGTATTACAGAAATGCGATAACTTTCCAACAAGCTGTGCGACGTTCTATTAGAATGGAGATATTTCTTCTCCTTAATCTTTAAACTTAAATTATCATCATCTATTTTACACACACAATGTTATATAGTAAGTACATGCTGAGATATTGTTCTTTAATGTTTGATAATAATACGAGAATAAAACTTTTCTTTGAACATTTATTAGAACTCAAATCCACGACTGTGGAACTCATACATGCGATCCATTGCTATTGTCTCGACAATTGAAGGCGACATTGAAGATATCACCTGCGCTTACAGCATACACCTTTGTGCAAAATAAGTGAAACAACCGCTTTAGTTTCCTTCATTTCACCATACGGTTAGTTTTAGACCCACTGGAGTGACAAGGTGTAATCGATTACTATTTTTTCTCAGATTAGCTCATTTGCAGTAGTGTGCAGTAATATGAATCTATTTTCGGGGTGTATAATGAAATTTGTTTAGCCTTGAAAAATATTGCGGTATCCGTGATTGCATCATATTGTCATCACGCCCAGACACTATTGTCTCCACTGTCGATTAGTTGTCCTACGGCCATTGTCTGCGATGGACGTTACTCCAAGGAAGCTTACGAAAATTGTAACACTGCACGAACACACTGGCAAGTCTTAACAGTTATCAAATCAAAGTACTATAGACTGGACGGGAAACTCTCCTGATTTAAATCTAATTGAAAAAATGTGGTCAAACGATTTTGTGTAATGGACGTACTAACATATGCACTGAGTCATGTTTCATTGATAAAATACGAAAAAACGTAAATAATAACGGAATTATTTGTTTTGTTTCAATTAATTTGCACAAAGGTGTTTATGCGATCCACTGCTAAACTTGCCTTGAAAAAATGGTCAACTCATTCTAACACTTCAAGAAGCACCTTGCTCCATCTCATATGCCAGAATCCTGGGTAAGACAATAAACTTCATCCGACAACAAGGCCTCTGATCAGGAGGTTTTGAGGAGCGTAGAACCACCCCTTAACTGCCGGTGTTTCCAGGTTCGGCCTGTCCCAGCTATGGGCAAATAGTTAACTCAAAACTGGAGTCAAAACGCTATGAAAGTGTAAAAATAGGTTTTAATACCAGCGATATATATTTATAAAAAATTATTACCAGCAATACATCTTTGAAGAAAAAAACATTACCAGCAATAAAAAACATTGCCATCAATTGTCGGCATTAAATAACCCATTGAGGTGTTGATATGCCGTAAACAAACCGACATTTCTTTATTTGGTTGAGCTATCACGCCAACCATCATGGACCTACATCAAGATCGGAAGTTCATCAGTGTGGCATCCTTTGTTATTATATAATTGGCCAATGTAGGTGTTTAGATGGCGACTCACCCGTCTTGTGTCATGACTAGGTGTCCAGAGCAGTAGATCACTCACAAGTTCTTGTTTTGCCCGCCAGTAGTGTCCTGCAAAGCGCATTCTACATTCACACAAGATTGTAAACATGTCAGGGATGGGACCATAGGCCTGTGATTTAATTGAATGTGTCTTCAAGAGATGTTAAGTATATATCTCAGCATTTGAGTGTAAGTTTCATCAGGCTTAAACCGTAGAGTTTTAGTCAATGCCCAAGTAGTGGCACTATGCATTAAAACAGACTCTACAGTAGCGCAAAAGAAGCTCCGTTTGAGGTGATCTGGGTGATCAGATTTCCAGATGACATCCCTTGATGTCTAATCCTTTCTTCTCGTTTTCCTTTCCTACCTTCTGTAGAAGTTCTACTTTCGTTTGTCACGTATTATAATATATTGTGAGAATGATGGTTTATTACATACTGGTGGTTTGAAAATGTTTGTCGATATACAAGACACGTTAATATTACGTCGTATTTATTATTAATAATAACCTTGAGAGATATTCATTTTCGATTCGCGTTTCGTTTATCTTATCGTTCAAATCTCTTCTAATATTCTACAGTATGATTTGAGCGTCGGCATGAAGTTGAAAAGGATTAATGAGTTTTCACAAAGTTGTAGGTAATAACATTTCTTACATATGAATTTCAGTTGATTTTTATTGCAACTTCACACACCGCAATTCTTTGATAATCAATGAAGAGCGCGGATGAAAATTATTGGGATGAATCAAAAATATTTCCCTTTTCAATAAGCTTTTTGAATTGGGCACTCACAGTAAACTGCACGGTCACAGTTGTCATAGAAGGAAAGGCGTCCACTGGGCTGGCAATGGTTGTGGCTGATACTGATAATGATGGCAATTGTTATCATTTTGAAGCCTATCCAATGATCAACGTATATTTTTAATCAATTCGTCGCAGGTAAGGCCGGAATGCTATTAATATGCAGAGGATTATAATGTGTGGGAGTGAGAGTAAAGACCGGGCTTAGTCGGGTTTGAGAAAAGATGAACGAGGTTCAAGAAGAAATTTAAGATGGCGATTGGTGTTGCATTTAAATTTTTGAAGATTGTAATTTTCAGGGAAGCAAGTAAACGGAACTGAATTCCACGGGCGGGAAGTGCGAGAAAAGAAACTGTTGGAGTAGAAGTGGTGGTTACATTTAGCTATAAAATGGTGGGAGCTAGATGCCTATCTAGTAGCACGCTTAAATTCATGTAGTGGGGGGACATCGGGAAAAAAAAGCTCGTCAGAAAATAAATATTTGTAGAAAAGACAAAGGGAAGCCACGTCACATCGATAATAAAGTGACTGAAGTCGAGATGCCAGGTCAGGATCGATTACATTGCAGATCCTTCTTTGGATTTTGTCATGAACCTTGAGATGAATTGCAGGAACAACCAGACCAGATATGATAACAGAATTCAATGCACGGACGAAAATAATGATCCCTACTCTTCATAATGATTTTAAGTGCTGCTCACTCGTAATCTCATCTGCTTTAAATGTTAAAGCATCTTAATCAACAACTAATACTGTAATTATTTGTGTATAATACGAACATTTTTCTAGATTTATAATCCTAAACGTTAGGAGTGCGTATTATACGTAAGAATTAAATAGTAAAATTTTCTGGCCATGCGCATCGCTATATTCAGAATGAAGAGGCACAGTCGAGTAGTGGATAGCAGATTGAGGAATCGGAGTGCCGAGTTCAAATTCCAGTCGAATCCATTACATTCACTTACTTCACTTAATACCCTTGGGGAAGGTATGAATCCTCTTCTCTCTCCCCCAGCTATGGGTAAATAGCAGGAGAGACCAGGTTCTATAGCCTTAGATAGCAACTGGTCTACCGCAGAAAGAAATGGCAAACTACTGCAGGAAAAAAAATCTGCCTCGTCAGTCGTGTATCAAAAGATACATGATCGCCTAAGCGTATATCCCGCATGGCGCATAAATGACTGACTGACGTGCTAATACCCTTGGGAAAGGCATGAATCCTCTATGAAAGTGTAAAAATAAGTTTTAATACCAGTAATACATACGTGCGGTGGAGCAGTGGATTGCCGCTCGGATTGGGGTATTAGAGAGCCGAGTTCGAATTTCAGTCGAATCCATTACATTCACTTACGTGCTAATATCCTTGGGAAAGGTATGAATCCTCTTCCTCCCCCAGCTATGGGTAAATAGCAGAACAGACCGGGTTCTATAGCCTTGGACGGCAACTGGTCTACCGCAGAAAGAAATGCCAACATACTGCGGGAAAAAATCTGCCTCGTCAGTCATGTATTGAAAGATACATGATCGCCGAAGCATGTATCACGCATGGTACATAACAGACTGAAGTTATATTTATAGTCCCGTCAAAATAATGCATAAGAAAGGGATTAATATCATTAACCAAATACTATCATTGTTTTTAGAATAATTGATAACGTCGTCTTCGGCAGTGGTGGCAGCTTTATCTCGTATCCAAGAATTTAGTTCTTTCTTTGCTGATCGCTTCCTTTATGATAATGGTGTTGATGACTTCCAGGTTCTTTAATAGAAGCTTCCAGTTTCACCAAAACCTGCTCCCGCCATTCATTCTCTATCGTTGTTTGTCTTTGCAAATGTTGGTTGAGGTGAAAAAAGAAGTGTCGATGTTGTGAATTTTTTAAGGTGGACTCTGTCTTGCCAGGAAGTGACCCACACATTAATTTCATGACCTTCCTTTGTGGTACACACGGAATGAGATATGCAGAATTCAGTTATGAAACTGCAACGGACTGCCGCTGACTCTGTTATAATTTCGAGTGGGGCCTTCTGTAGCATGTCCGTCATGCGTAGCCCTTTTCATCCGCTGGTTCAACCGTTGAAATCTGTTGTAATCATCATCCTTTTGTTCAATCGTTGGGATATTTGGGGTTGGTTGCGCTTAGTTTGGGTTCTCGTCTTCGACCTTGTCGCCAAGAGTGGCTCTACCAGGAGTTTAGAACTCCCGACGTCATTGCTCTCAGAGTCATTAGACCACGCAAGCCCCTCCACCACGACAAGGAGTGACCGCCAGAGGTCATAATAATTTATTTACATAGATATTAACCCATTAATGCTCACCGTAAAATCTGGTTTATAAAATAAAATTTTGATAGGAATTATAGGTTTCTAAAAAATCCAGTTTTATAGATTTCTGCCTATAACCCATCGTAGCAAAAATGTGAGTGTGCTTCATTAATGTATAAGGCATATTTTATTCTGCTTTACTGCTGTCCGTGCTAAAAAGTGGTGCCATGTCAGTTTCATTTACACCCTTGTGCAAATTAATTGAAACAAAACGAATAATTCCGTTATTACTGACTTTCGCATTTTACCAATGAAACATGACTCAGTGCACATGTTAGTTCTTTGTATACCTATTCCACAATGTCGTTCCTTGCAGATTGACCACAGATTCTCATTTGGATATAAATCAGGAGAGTTTCCGAGCCAGTCTATAGTAATTTGTTCACTGGTAAGGTGTTTGTGCAGTGTTACAATTTTCGTAAGCTTCGTAACGTCCATCGCAGACAATGACCATAGGACAACTAATCGACAGTGGAGATAATAGTGTCTGGGCGTGATGACAATATGATGCAATCACGGATGACGCAATATTTTTCAAGGCCAAACAAATTTCATTATACACCCTGAAAATAGATTCATATTACTGCACACTACTGCAAATGAGCTAATCTGAGAAAAAATAGTAATCGATTACACCTTGTCACTCCAGTGGGTCTAAAACTGACCGTATGGTGAAATGAAGGAAACTAAAGTGGTTGTTTCAATTAATTTGCACAAAGGTGTATGCTGTAAGCGCAGGTGATATCTTCAATGTCGGCTTCGTTTTCAGTAAGCTGTCTTTGAAATCTATGATATAATTTATGGGCTATGTTTTAGCCATGAGTTAGGCGACGACATATTAGTAAAGATCTGCTTGACGAGTTCGCTAGCCATTACTCCTCATACAGGATCATTATAAGAATTTTCATCATGACAGAGCCCGTGGTGATAGATTTTTCGGAAGAATTTATCAGAAATAAAAGAGGTGCCTGAAACTGCTGTAAACCAATAATCATCTCGTTAGCCATTTTCAAGCAGACAAGTTATGTGGAACCCATTTTCCCCGCTTTTTTAAATTGCAATCTGCAATCACCTGGGTAACATTGAATTATTTGCACATTGCAGCAAAATTTATTAAAACTATGGTATCTGGTATCTTCAGACCAAGTTCATTTGCATATTTCTTTTTGACACTGAATATTTCGCTAACAACATTCTTCGACTAAACAGAGAGAAAAATCGAGATAGAAGGTGTATATGTTCTTACTAATGTAGTAGCCGACCTGAAAATGACTTTGATAAGAAAAGAAAATGATAGGAGATAAAGGAGTTGGGTGTTTTTAATCAACAAACAAATTTTACATACAAAGTTTACAACAATGTCTTTAATTCGTGATTAATAAATGAATGTGCATATGATACCATATGTGCGGTTAATAGAGTTTTATATAAGATAATTGTGTTTTTACTGTTGTTCACTCAATACAAGGCCAAAGAGCCACTCAAGCTAGAGAGTTAATGAATGAGGTTAGTGAAAGTAGATAATCGCTGACCCAAGATTCGAAGAAGTTAAGACTGTAGTGATCGGGGAAGCATCTTCTTGAGAGTCTCTTCCGCAAAGTAGCTGTTCATGGAAAGAAACTGTCTTAAAGGGACTTCCTCCTTACCAATGGAATACGAGAATAAGAGAATAGTCGACTCTGTGCATGTGGCATGACGGGTCTTCGCTGTAAAGATCTGGACTGGTGAAACTAAGGATTGTAGCTCTTCTGAACATTTGCTATGGAAATAGCGATAGAGTAGTTAGAGCTTTGCAATGTCTCTGGGGAAAAGGCTGTTGGATGGAAATTAATTTATCACTCACAAAGCTACGTAGACGCTTTTGAACACTGTCAAGTTTGGAAAACGGGGACTGGGCCGCTCCAACCCAGAGATGGCAGCAATATCCCATTTTTTTGGTTTGCTTTGGTTCTTGACAAGATAGATTATAGCATAATGAAACAAATACCTTCTGGAGCAGTACAAGAAACCAACCATTTTTTTAAACTCTTTAGCGATGGATCGTATACAGGGTCGGTGCATATTACATCTGAACCCCCTGATCAGGGAGGGGATAAGCCTGATTGGGGTCCCCAGGCAGTACTTTTCTATGCTATCTTATCAACATTTGCAATTTTTTCTACCTACATTTATATACATTACATATTAAACTCAGCACGATTGACTATTTGGCAGGGTTGGCTCAGTGAAGATGAAATATTACTAGCGTTGGTTTGGGAGGTATTGAATGTTATTTGATAATCCTTTCCTCCATTGAATTGTTAGAGAAGAGATGAGAGGGGGTATGAAAAAGCGTCACATATTTTGTAATTCAACCTCTTCTGCATTCAGATTCTATTTAATACTTTCTCATGCAATGCCTCTGTGTAAACTTTTCATTTTACTGGCTTCTCCCGACAGGAATGAATTTGGATGGAATTCAGACAATGGAAGATGAAACAGTGAAGAGCACAGAAATGGCATCAACAAAAGAAACGGTAACTTTGCCAGTATTATACGATGAGAAGAAACTGATAAACGACATGGTTTCGTCTGGTTCTGATGAACAAATCGGTAAGTAATTTCATTGTTAATTTTTATCAGTATTAACGTGATAGATCTGAACAGCCATAGATAGATAGATAGATAGATAGATAGATAGATAGATAGATAGATAGATAGACTCCAGTTGCATTTTCAACTTCTTTCGCCTATATTTTCCCCGTGTGTGGTATATAAAATAGCTTATGTTACATATATATATATATATATATATATATATATATATATGTGTGTGTGTGTGTGTGTGTGCGCGCGCGAGCGTGTTAACAATTTCAATCCAAGCAAAGCGAAAATGTCACTAACACTTATATATATGTGTGTGTTTGTGTGTGTGTGTGTATTTGTGTGCGTTAAAAATTTCAATCCAAACGAAAATTCCACTATATGTGTGCGTGTGTTTATATGTATATATATATGTGTGTGTTTATATATATATATGTGTGTGTGTGTGTGTGTGTGTGTGTTAACAAATCCAGTCCAAGCAAGGCAAAAATGCCACTAAGACGCAAGGGATTACTGGGAGTTAAAGAGAAAGGGAAATCCAGTCCTAAACAGGAAACCAGATATAAAACTCTACTCCTGTTTAAAAGACGGGAAGGGAGTCTGAACCGGGACGTGTGTGTGTGTGTGTGTGTGTGTGTAGACGTAAAAATATCTTTTTCTGCTACAGATACACTAGCCACGAGCTATGGCCTAACAAGTCGGTTCTATGTACGATTTCAGTAAATACTAGCCTCTTCCTTTACAAGAGCCAAATCAGGCCTAAAATGGAGTACTGTTGTCATATTTGGGCAGGAGTTGCCCAGACCTCACTTCCCAGTCTTGATAGAGTCTAAAAGCATCCCCGCGTCCTTGTGGGTGACAACCCCTCTTTCACAGAGAAGATGTAGCATGCCTTTTACTTCTCTGTCACTACTTCCATGGAAAGTCCTCAGACGAACTCCATTACTTAGTTTCACCAGTTCGAACCTTCACGGCTAGAACCTGCCACAACACTTACATTGTAGTGAACCACCTTCATTTCCTCGTCCTGGGTAAGACGTTAAACTACGTCCAGCAACAAGTCCTCTGATCAGGAGGCTTTGAGGAGCGTGGAATCACCTTTAATTGCTGGCGTTCCCAGGTCCACCCTGACCCGGGGTGGTAGCACATGTTAGGGTCCCAGCTATGGGCAAATAGTTAACTATTACCAACAATAATTTTTTGAAAAAAATTATTACCAGCAATACAATTTTGAAGAAAATATATTACCAGAAACAGATTTTTGACAAAATATTACCAGTAATAAAAAATGTTGTCAGCATTAAATAACCCATTAAGGTTGATATGCCGTTAAACAAAATAAACCAAACCAAACCCTTCATTTCCTCCGTATTCCATTGGTGAGAAGTAAAATCTGCTCAAGCAGCTTCTTCCTGCGAACCACTGCTCTGTCGAACCGACTACCATGATGATGTTTTCCCGATCCCGACAATCTTAATCAGTTCAAGTCTAGGGTTAACCGTTATCTTCCCCATATATATGCATAAACATGTGCCTCTAACACTGTAACCCTCTACCACGAGTGGCTCCAGAGACTTGTAAAGATAAACCTCACTATTAAAAAAAATGTGCCCATAACACAGGCATGCGTGTGTGTATTAAAATCAAGAAGTGTAGTTTCAAAAGAGCTCATCTCATTGGCTGCCATTAAATGAACATTAAACAAGCCAGTATTGTGGCTAACTTGCTCGTACATTGATTTTCGTTTGTTTTGGTTTGGTTTGGTTTGTTTTACGGCATATCAACACCTCAATGGGTTATTTAATGCCGACAAGATTTTTATTGCTGGTAATAGTTTTTTCAAAAAGTATTTCTGGAAATAATTTCCCCAAAAATGTATTGCTGGTAATAATGTATTGCTGGTAATAATTTTTTTTTTTTCAAAAATGTATTGCTGGTAATATTTTTTACAAAAATGTATTAAAACCTATTTTTACACGTTTTGACTCCAATTTGGGTGTTAACTATTTTCCCGTGGCTGGGAACAGGAGCTACCACCCCAGGTCAAGGTGGACTTGGGAACACCAGCAATTAAGAGGTGGTTCCACGCTCCTCAAAACCTACCGATCAGAGGTGTTGTTGGATACAGTTTATCGTCTTACCCAGGACTCGGATGCAGTTTAACGTCTTGCCCAGGACGCTGCTCGTACATTGAATGCGATCGCCATTGGGAGTCCCATTCCTATACCTTTATTCTTGCAGCAGTAGCTATTTCGATAGTCTTGCCAATCGGTCATTTCAGGTTAATATTCTTTGATATTCTCTTTGAAGGTGAGCAAAGTTAGTTCAGTGCAAGGAAGAGTTTCAAACGTTCTGCATATATGATCCCGTATGAATCAAGTCTAGGGAAAATATGTTTTTATTTACAGATCAGGATACAACGCAAGTCTCCTACGAGTTCACTTCGAGTGTCCTGGGGAAACAAAATGCAAGTACCGTCCAGTCGGTTATCTCAGCAACTACAACAATATCTGTCCCAATAACCAATAAGACTACTTTGAATAGCATGGACCGAAAGGTAAGTCCTCATCTCCTCACAATGTTCTTAATAATATATTCCTCAGATTATTTTGTCTTCATATGTATATATACAGTGAGGGAAACAAATATTCGTACACATACAAATTTCTAATATTCTGATGAATAAACATACTTTTCATATAATTAAATGTACACAGATGTATAATAAGTAAATATGCATAGAAAACAAAAACTTTTGATTTAATAGAAATAAATCCCATTTATCCGTTTGAAAAAAGTATTCGTACAATGTTCAGATTTTAAAACATTTAAATTGTTTTAATAATCTAGATTATTCAAGTATTCAATATTCTAGAATGTTCCAATAATGTTATCAGTAGTTATGTTTAGCCTAAAAATACAAACAGAACATTATGTAATTGATTTTCGTGCAAGAAGGTTTTCATCATAGCAAGAGGAAAAGAATTGACAAATTCGCAAAAAGAACTGATTGTTAAGATTTGGAAAGAAGGTAAAAGTTACAGGAAAATCTTAGACAACCTGAATATTCCATTTACTACTATTAGTTCATTTGTTGCAACTCAAAGCTGTTGAAAACCGAAAAAGAACAGGTGCTCCACGGAAGATTTCTTCAAGATCTTCGAGGAAATTAATGCGTCAAATTAAACAAAATCTTATGGTTACACGTCAAGAGTTGAAGAATGATTTGTTTTCATCCGGAATCTGCGTCACTAAATGGACAATAAGCAATAAAATTCATAAGAAAAATCTAAAGTCACGCTCTAGTCGGAAAACTCTATTGCTACTGAAAAGACACAGAGATGCCAGGTTGTAATTCGTTCGTGGACATAAGGATAAGGAAAAATCGTATTGGGATAGAATATTATGAACAGACGAAACGAAGATTGAGTTGTTTGGACGTAATTCTAGAAATCATGTATGAAGGAAAGATGGCGATGCCTTCAAACAAAAGAACACAGTGAAATTGGTGGTGGCAGCATGGTGGTTTGGAGATGTTTTTCTTCAAAATGTATTGGCAACATATCAATAAAAGATGGTAGAATGAATGCCACAGCATTTCAAAATATTTTGGAAGGAAATTTCATGATTTCGGTTGAAAATCTTGAACTTCATCCTGATTGGACAATCCAACAAGATAATGATTCTAAGCACACTGCAAAATCTACGAATTAATGGCTAGCTGAAAATAATGTAAATATCCTGAAATGGCCAAGTCAGTCTCCAGATTTAAACCTAATCGAGAATGTGTGACGTTATTTGAAAATTCAAATCCAATAGAGAGCTCCAACAAACATCCTGGATCTGAAGACCATATGCGAAGAAGAATGGAACAAAATACCAACTAAAATTTGCAAATCATTAATTGAGAACTACAAGAAGAGATTGTTTGCTGTAGAATTGAATAATGGCTACTCTATAAAATATTAAATGAAGATTATATATTCTTTTTTGTATTGTCAAAATACTTTTTTCACACATTAAAATCTTTTAATCTCACTCTGTGGAGAGTTCGACTACACTACAGTTACTTATCGAAGTGTGTGTGTGTGATATGAATGTAAGAGGTGAAAAGAAGTGAAGATTATTAGGATATGGAGAATAGCTATAACTACTGATCCCAGACTTGAAAAGTTTAAGATTGTGATGCAGCGCAGAAGCTTCACTTGTCTCGATTACTGCGCAATTAGCGAAGTTTAAAATGAATGCGCGATTCCAAATATAGCAGTAAACATGAAAAAAAATAAAAATAGAATATAAATTACGTTCCTGAAAGGATAAAAAAATAAAGTTTTCTTTTTTCAACGATGTTTTTTATTAAAAAATTAATTATTTAATAAAGCTTTACTTCTACAAAGAAGTAATACTTTTAATTCGAAAAAAGCAATTTATACCAATTAAAAAAACTATTTATTTAAAGCTTCATTAAAAAAAAAAACACAATTTAAAATAACTTTCGCGAAAACTGCGCAGCAATCAAGACTAGCAAGAAGATACGAAAAGCAGTCAAAAGGCCAAAGCAAGCTTCCGCTAATTACTGATCGAGGCAAACGTACATAAACAACTCCAGTAATGGCGGTCGGACAACGCGAAAGAGATCGAACTTACATTGTCGATAAATCCTAAACAGTAATCGAGCGCAAACTTTTGGTGTCATTTTCGACATAATCAGGCAATTTCACACCATAATGGAACATTTTCATTACCTTACCTAACATTACTTTTGGTGTTTATACACAAATTAACCGAAATTTCTAGGGTACATAATGGGGAAAGAGGGTTTAGAGAATTTGGTATTTACAGGGTATATTAAAGTGTGTATGTGTGTGCCTTTCTGTCAAGTGACCTCTGCTCACGCACACTCCAGATATTACTAAAAGGAAAGCTCGAGTAAAAACAATAATCTTATTCAAAACCTGAATTTTACAAATGGTTTCATTTAAAGTTTTTTTGTTTTTTTTTCCAGCCGGCCGAGTTGATATTCCTTCTCAATGGACAAAATAGAGAAGAAGTTCTGGTAAGTATTTTTCACCGATTCACACTCAGTGCTAATGTCACCATGGAACAATTTAAAGAGCTTTTCATGCTTGTGATCGCCATTAGGTATACCGGCATTCACATTTCTTAAAAGAAAGAAATAGTTATTTACATTAATTTAAATCAATTGGTATAAATACATTAATACAAATCTTTAATAATATAACTGTACCTACATTGTTTGGATGTATATATTCTACAAATGTTCTGATAAGCTTTCGTCTTTAGTACACAGACTTTATGAATTTAAACCCAACACTAGATTGGCGATAATGTTTCATCATTTTAACGCTGAAATTACTAGATGCCGTCAGTTCAATGCTTATAGTTTCTTTTCTCGCACTTCTCACTTGTTGAACTCTCTTTTTGCTTTCCAGTTAACTTTGATCTTCAAAAAGTTAAATGCAATGTCAATTGTTATCTTCTGTATTTTTTACTTCCTGTTCTTTTATTGTTTTCGCTGTTTGATAATGTTTTTCTTTTTCTCATATTCTCGCGCACTTAGTAACTCCTTGCATCTTAGTGGCTTTATTGCCTTGCTTGGGGTGAAATGAATAAAAAATGTATCGCAAAAATAGTTTTCACGACTAACAGACGTATAAGCTCATTGCACAACATGACCTATTTATAGCCGTCGATGTGCTAATAAAAAAAAATCCCAGAATGCATCTGTCGGATTTGTCAATAAATTTGTAGAGGAGAGTTTTTTTATCAGTCCAAAGAGACTGTTACTCCTTGAATCGAATGAATGAGTGCACTCCTGTTACTCTTTTGCTCACCTCTATGAAACATAAACAAAATACATGTAATTATTTTTTTTACCTTCTTTTGTTTATTTTATTTTTTTAATATTTAAATATATATTTTTAATCGCAAAAAGTGTAGCGGAAAAAATGAAAAAGAAAAACAAATTGTTAACCCAAAAATCGATTGATTAATATCAATTTTATTGTAAAATGATTGACTTGTATAAAAAAATCTGACAGTGTGTAGCGCTCTTTTCAGTACTAACAATAATATACAGTGACCCCCGTCTATTCGTGTTTCAGCATTCGCGGCTTCACGCATTCGCGGATTTTTCTTTAGAACATATGTACTTGTTATTCACGGAAACTCCGAATATTCGCTTCGCGTGTTTTTCTGAAGAACATATGTACAAAGAACTCGCTTATTTTTTCGATAGAACATATTTAAAATATTCTTGTATTATTTTCCTGTTATTTAAGTGACTTAAAATATATAACAGTCCGTTTTTATGGTAACAATTGGTAGAATTGTACATCATTGCAAAAAAAAAACAAACACAAAAACATGCATAGTTCTTGGGCTTTGTTCTTTGTAGGGGCTGCAGTTGGGGTCTTAAAAGTGGTTTATGCCAAGTCTGAGGACATCACCAGAGTTCTGTTTTTAGAAAATGTTTTAAACTTTATATTTTATGACTTGTTACACATATTTTATACAGTATTTTCAATGGTTGTATCGATCTATGCTTAATTAAAAACGGTTATTGTACATATGAAAGAAAATTTACGCTAAGTGTATGATCACCAATACTATTTTTTTAAAATGTAAAAAAAAAGGGTCTGAAATGTTTCTAAAGTGTTTCGGATGAAAGTTTAAGGCATATGGGGTTTTAACAATCAAAATAGGTACCTATAAGCACTTTTAGTGGGCGGGGGGGGGGGTTACATGTATTTGCGGATTCTAACTATTCACGGCCGGTTCTGGTCCCTACCCGCGCGAATATGGGGCACTCACTGTATTATGAATATGAATAGAGCGAAAGAGAGAGAGAGAGGGGGACAATTTCGTTTTATGTGTTTCATTCTTGGTTTCAGGCAAGTTTCCATGCCAATTTCACAGCTGCAATGCAAAAGGCAAACAGAAACATCCATAACATCACTGTGAAGAAAATTTATCCCATTAACAATGTAATCAAAATATTATTTTGGGCATACGACAAAGACGGTAATTACAATATCTTTCTATTATTTGAATATTATTAGATTTGTTTTTTGTTTTTTTTAGTGTTGTTTTACGGTATATCAACCTCAATGGGTTATTTAATGCCGACAACAGTTTTTATTGCTGGTAATTTTTTTTTCAAAAATGTGTGGCTTGTAATTTTTTTTTTTAAATATAGCTGGTAATATTTTTTTCAAAAATGTTTTGCTGGTAATAATATATTTCTGGTAATAATTTTTTACAAAAAAGTATTTCTGATATTAAAACCTATTATTACACTTTCATAGTGTTTTAACCCCGCTTTAGGGGTTAACTATTTGCCCATAGCTGGGATCCTAACAGGTGCTACCACCCCGGGGCAGGGCAGACCTGGGAATACCAGCAATTAAGAGGTGGTTCCATGCTCCTCAAAACCTCCCGATCAGAGGCCTTGCTGTCGAATGTAGTTTATCGTCTTACCCAGGACGCGGATACAGTTTATGGTCACACCCAGGACTGGGGGTGGACCTGGGAACACCAGCAATTAAGAGGTGGTTCCACGTTCCATAAAAACCTCCTGATCAAAGGCTTTGCTGTTGGATGTAGTTTATGGTCTTACCCAGGACGCGGATGTAGTTTATGGTCTTACCCAGGACGCGGATGTAGTTTATGGTCATACCCAGGACGCGGATGTAGTTTATGGTCTTACCCAGGACGCGGATGTAGTTTATGGTCTTACCCAGGACGCGGATGTAGTTTATCGTCATACCCAGGAAAGAAATATTATAAGGATATCAAACAACAGACACTTTAAAAATATATATAAAAGGATACAAAAAATATAAAAAAAAGGGGGAATTAGAGGGAGGATAAGAAAAATAATAGAAAAAAGGCGGGAGTAGAGGAAGTTTGAGAAAAATATAGAAAAGTGGAGGGGGGAAGAGGGATACGAAAGAATAAAAAAAAAGGGAGGAGAATTGGAGTATTTACTACCAGTCATAGATTACCAATGTTTTATTATATTGAACGCCATGAGCTTAGTTTAGTATTACTTTGTCAAACATGTAATGACGCACTTCATAGGAAATGAATAAAACGCTTCTGAAATGTTAAATAACTAATTCATTTTCTTTTTAAGCATTTCACCTCAAACAAGACGGGATGTCACTAACACGCAAGAGGTTACAGAGTAGGAGCGAGAGTAAAGTGGCGTGATGGAGGAAAGGATGAAGAGAAGGACAGGGAATAGATCAAGGCATCTTGAGATGTCGATTGACATCACATTTGAATAGTTGGAAACAAGTAATAGGAAGGGAATTCCACAGACTGGAAGTGCAAGACATGAAGCTATTGGAGTAGAAGAGACGGCCACATTTAACTGTTTCGACAGTGAAAGGGTTGGTCCGTGATACCAGCCTAGTAGCACGCTTAAATTCATGCAGTCTGGGAACTAACTAGCTCGTCGGAGCAGTTACGATGAAAGTATTTATAGAAAAGACATAGGTAGACGACGACACGTCTGTGGGAGAGCGACTGTAGACGAGATGCCAGATCAGGACCAACCACATTGCATATCCGTCTCTGGATCTTGTCGAGGACCTTAAGGTGAACAGCGGGGGCACCAGACCTTATATGGCAGCAGTATTCCATGCAAGGGCGAATGGTTGATTTGTAGATTTGAAGGATGGACTCAGGCGAGAAAAACTTTTTTGGCGCAGCACAGGGAACCAACTTTCCTTGCTGTGGATGAAGCTATTGATTCAATGTAATTGATCCATCTCAGGTCAGCGGACAGTGTGAGACCAAGCAGTCACAAAGAAGTGCTCTTGTGGTGTTGAGCATCAGACATTCTAATGGGTGGCAGGGATGTTTCCCTGTGGTGAGTAATAGAGAGCAGTTTTGTTATAGAGGCATTAAAGTTAACCAGCCAATTCCTGCCCCAGTCTACAATCGATTACTTGAAATAGGAACCATGTTGTTGAATGACTGTTCGCCAATCTGCCGTCAAATTCTTGATCCCATCTTTAAAGAATCCTCATCTTTTAATGCGATAAACAGTTCAAATGCTTCGATTACCCCTTCCTTATTAGAGAATGTTTTATTGCGTATGAAAAGCTCAAAATACTTGAATAAGTGATAATCAGTTGGAGAGGTATCAGGTGAATATGGGGAATAAGGCATGATTTCATAATTAAGGCTATACAACTTTTGGACAGTTGATTGAGAAGCGTGTGGCCGTGTGTTGTCGCGTAGCAAAATTGGGCCATCCTTATTCACAAGTCTAGGATGTTTCTTTTTTAATTTTTTGTGCGTACACTCAATTTCTCCATATTACGAGGTGGTTGTTATTGTTTTCCCTTGAGGCAAGAATGAATAATGAATAACCCATTTGAAAAACTACCATACAGTAACCATTAATTTTTTATCATGCAGTGGTGGTTTTGAGTATTGTTTTGATGATTCACTTGCATCTAACCACTGAATCACTCTCTTACTATTGTTAAACAGTATCCATTTCTCATCGCATGTAATGATTCGATACAAAAATGGTTCTTTTTTTCCAGTTTGTACTCATACACTATGATTACTCGACATTGTAATAATTTTCATTGGTCTTATGAGTAACAATATATTGAAAGAAAAATTATCTGGAAAGAAAAAAAAAGTCAAGAATAAGTCAAGACTTTTTTTTATATACTAAGGAGTTGACTTCGTTAGACGACCAGATCAACAACAACCCCCCCCCCCGCAAAAAAATACGACATTTCACGCGTAACAACTTAATAAAATATATTTTCTTTTTCTGTAGGAAATCTCATTCCAGGCTTCCGAGTGGAGGAGAACATGGAAATGAGGGAAAAGGTGGAAGAAGCGGTAAGTAAAAAGGGAAAATATTTAAATAAAAAGCAAACGCATTGATTATATATTTTCTGTCTGATGGTGGATTTTGTTTAGTGGCATATCAACACCTCTATGGGTTATTTAATGCCGAAATCTAAATAATTTGAACACAATTTTATGGCTTAAACTAAGTATATTTTGAATTTATTACTTTTTCTCAGTTTGTAAGCCGTTCCCTTTTTCTATTGGTCAAAATAAATTTTCACATAGGCTCGTTAATCTTTGCATTGCCCTTTTCTTCAGTCCGCAGCCGATCCCTTTTCTATTGGTCAAAATAAATTTTCCCATAGGCTCGTTAAACTTTGCCTTGGTCTTTTATCAACCCGGAGCCAATCCCTTATTCTATAGTCAAAATAAATTTTCACATAGGCTCGTTAAACTTTGCCTTGGTCTTTTCTTCAGCCCAGAGCCAATCTCTTTTTCTATTGGTCAAAATAAGTTTTCACACAAGCTCGCGAATTTGAAAACAGTGGAGAAAAGAGAGTTATTTTTATTTAGTATTCACCATGCGTTTATTCACAGAGAGAGAGAGAGAGAGAGAGAGAGAGAGAGAGAAACAAAATCAAAATTATTTTTAAAATGCTGGGGGTAAATGAATTGTAATAAGGTTTTCCATTTATGATTATTAAATATAGTTTTTACTTGGTAACAATATCATCTAACCGCTACAAATATTAATTTTTAAAACTATAAATTATCATAATTAAAACTTAAAAATAAATGAAAAAATTTTTGTAAAAATTCATTATTCATTGAAAAAATTTCAATATATGTCGCATTCATAAAAAAAAAACAATTAAAAGCGTTTATAATTAAATAATATCTTAGTTTTATTGCATTATTTTATTTTACAATTCAGAGCTGATTTTCTGTTTTTGGAAGCCCTGTTTGTCAAAAATTAAAAAAAAAAAATGATGATTTAATTTCTCCTTATCACTAATATAAATATTAAACGTTAGAAAAGTGAATTTCTCGATATTTCAAAAGTGAAATAAGTTGGGGGTAACAGATGTAAAAAAAAAAAAAACATTTCTAAAATAATTTTATTCTTTTGTGAATAAGTCCTGACAATTTCATTAAAATCTGATATCTGATTCTGGCAAGAATTTCCTGAGAGTGTGTTTTACACCGCAAAAAGACGTTCACATTTCCCGTACAAATTCATAGCCACCCGTTGACGCAAGAAAAAACAAAAATTTTAACCAAAGGTTTCAAATAGAATTAAAAATATAATTTAGTAATCAAAAAATCCTTTGGTCTTTTCTCTTAATAATAACATAAAGATTTTGACGATAAATCTTTGTTTCTAAGTTTGGGGCATTTTTTCATTGTAGAATCAGATTCCTACATTTTTTTAAATCTTAAATTTTGTGCATGTTAAACACATAGAGGCTCCCAGCCAAATATAACAACTGAAGCCATTATCAAAGATGTCAATTACAACATAATATAAGGACAAGACAGCGATGATAGTCAGTCATTGTTTACACCATAAACTCGCTTTCACGATGCTTGACACTACATTTGAATGAAAACTCTAACATTTTTAGGCATTTAAAACAACATGCCTGCCCGCACACACAATTCCCTAAAATACTTGTCGAAAACACAATGAAACTTCGACATGAAAACAATAGACAAAAACTAAAAATCCTTGAAGCATTATACATCAAACAGTTGAATTGAAACCCAACCTAAACAAAATCAATTATGGCATCTCTACAAATATTCTTAAATGTCTATAATTGGTAACAGAAGCCATTGGTTTATGCCAACGGCTTGCCATACTTCATACTTTATACTTCTCCAATTTCCTCTCGTGTGTTCATGTGTGACGTCATGAGATGCGGTGCGATTTTCGCTCCTAGCGTCTTATATGCATGTGTTTATCGTTGCTTAGAAATCATCTATGTAAACAATGACAGACTATCATCACTGTCTTGTCTGTATATTGCTTAATATGTTGTAATTGACATCTTTGATAATGGCTTATGTAAGCCGAAAGCTTAGATTGTATTAAATAAAAAAAATATGGATCAATATTGTGAATTTCTTTCTTCGTTCAACGATAATGTTATTAAACTTATCAGACGTTACGAAAAAAATTTACATAAAATAAAGAGACAACACTTGTCTATATTATTTAATGAAACGTGTATGAATGAAAAGATGCTGCCTAAATACACACAATTTAAATTACATGATCCAGCAGCCCACAATACTATCAATATATATATATATATATATATATATATATATATATATATATCGGTCTTGTTTGTTTGTCTTCTTTATTTTCAGTTGGACTTAATTCAAGTCCAGCCATTTTCTTGTAGTTGGACCTTTTAATATTCTACCAGGAATTATACACATGTTTCTAATGCAACAACACGTAAATACGCCGCCGGTCTTCAACAACATCATTATTTTATGCAAAATGTTTTCCCGGTTTTCTATTTGCCAGCTTGGTCTTCGGGCGCATCCACAAAGACAAGACATCTTCCAAGAGTACCTGGCACTGTTCATCATCCTTATTATCATTGGCTTCTTGTGTCTCATCATTTTGTTGTCCAGTTGCATGTATCTCTACTGTCGACGACACTCAGGACATTGGGATCGTGCACTGGCTGAACAGGTATATGTCGTTTTTATTTATTCATTTTTCTACCATTTCTTCATTCTGCGATACTATTTTGTAAGAAACTTCTTTTTTTATTAAACTTTAAGGGCAAGAAGTTATCAGATAATAGCAGATACTGACCCCTGTAAAAGACTGAAAATAGATGGAACTTTTCTTTTCTTTTACAATTATTATTAACCAAGTAGTAGTTAAATGAGATTATCAATCTACGCTCTAAGTAACTGTCTGGAAAAGCAACTTAATTTGAGAAGAAATAAACACTGGTCGAAAATCAATAATAAATGAATTGAGAATGCTTCAACCAATAACAAAGTAAAAATAGTACTATTATTACTATCACTACTACTACTATTACAAATAATAATACTAGCATAAATAAAGCAACGAGAATTTTTTAAAAATTGTACTATTTTTATATCTATCGTGAAACATTAGGTATTTTTACTCTATCTCCCCACTAAGACGAGTTGTGACACAAGGTCAGTTTTTAAGGTGGGGACCCGAGCGCGTACACCCGGGCTAGGAATAAAAACTGTCCACAGCCGTCGGTAGCGCTGGCCTCGATGCAAGCACTGATCCCTTCCTCTGGTGTAATGAGAGGTCGCGGCTTCGGACAGCTGTTCCCCAGGGCTGGACACCTCTCAGTATAATTTTCCTAAGAAACGGTATGGAAAAGCAACTTAATTTGGTCGAAAATCAATAATGATTGAGAATGCTTCAACTAATAACATAGTAAAAATACTACTACTATTACTATCACTACTACTACTAGTACTGCTACTATTACAAATAATAATATTAGCAAAAATAAAGCAACGAGAATTAAGATGAAAGTCATACTGTCCAAAATGGGGTACTTCAGCGTGGAGTAATGGTTAATAAACTTGCTTCGTTAGATCAATTACGTCTGAATAGTGAGTTCGATCCTCACTGGGTTCTCCAAAACTTTCGGCCTTTTGACACATCAAAGGTACTCTTAGAAAATCATTTTGAGGAATTCGACGTGGAGTAATGGTTAGCAAGTTTGTGTCGCTAGATCAATTACGACTGAATAGTGAGTTTGATCCTCACTGAGTTCTCCATACATTCTGCCTTGTGCCACATCTTTGAGCCCTAACCACCACTTTACCTGTGGTAGAGAAAAATGCTGTAATACCCAGCCACCGGTTGAACAGTGGTAGAGAAAAATGACTTAGTGCCCAGCCACCGACTGACACCGGTTGGTAAACACTTGTAACTATTACCGTGAAATATTAGGTATTTACTCTATCTTCCCACTAAGACGAGTTGTGACACAAGGTCAGTTTTTAAAGTGGGGACCCTAGCGCGTACAACCGGGCTAGGAACAAAAAATTCCTGCAGCCGTCGGTTGCGCTGGCCTTGGTGCGAGCACCGATCCCTCTCTCTGGTGTAATGAGAGGGCGCGGCCTCGGGCAGCTGTTCCCCAGGGCAGGGCACCTCTCAGTATAATTTTCCTCGGTTGCGACCCTGTACCTTGACGGAGCCGCCCCTGGGCGCACTCTGACCGAACACTTGAGAGAGTCATTTTAACACTAAAAATCGTAAAACATTATATACCAATTATTTGCGAATTTTGACTCAGGAGCTCAGGCAGAAGGGTTAAAATTGCTCAAGAACACAGGTCCCAAAGGGTTAATAAATGAACAGAACGTCTACTTAGATATGAGTATCCACTAAAAATAACGTCTAAGTAATAACAATAATAATACTGTAAACGAAGCGACAAGAATTAAGATGGAAGAAATACTAGTAAAAAATGAATAATGGTTGACAATATTTCAACCATTAAAACATTCATAACAATATTACTATTGTTAATAATACCAGGATATGTAAAAGCGTTAACATCAAATATGGTACTGGGTGTGCGGGGAAAGATAATAAAAAAAGAAGTTTATTTATTAAGTCTTGAATTTTGTATATGTGAAGTTTTCAAAGAGCTCATATGTCTCTGAAATCTTTCTCTCTAGTCACATCTGGATTTTGCAAGCATTTCAATTTCGCAAAATAAATGTAAATTTTCACTTAAGAAATAATTCTTAACAAAACAATTTTTAAAACATGTTTTAAATAAATGACCGGATCTAAAATAAATTTTAGAAAATGAAAAGTTTGAAAATCATTATAATTTTTTGACTAACACTTTTTCAAAATCATTTTTCCTTTTGAATTTCTTTTGCTATGATTTAGAAGAGATTTTCAAGCATTTTCAAAAATATATTTTCTAAAACTAAAGATCATTTAAAGTAGTGATTCTCAACGATGGTCCACATAGCATTTCTAGTGGTCTACAGAAAATTCGTAGGCATAAAAAAAATTGTAGCCATTTCACAAAACTGTATCTAAATTATTCATACATTGAAGAATTAAAAAATATATTTTGTTTAATTACACAAATGTCCATTCTATTTGAAAATGTCGAAATTACGTAGGTATTATGCACTGCTATATTTATTTTATTTTTTATCATATATATATATATATATATATATATATATATAATGTTATTTTTATATATACTATATATTTCTTTCCCTACCACATGGATGGGGGAATCTGGATTTTAGGCTGTTGTAGATGTTTTCAGTAGAAAAAGAAATACATTAGATCTCAACAGCAGAGGAACTATTTTTTTATCATATATATATATATATATATATATATATATATATATATATATATATATATATCATCGTCGTCCTTGGGTTTACCCATATGGATTACCTAGTTTTTCATAAACTATATATATATATAGCTTCAAGAATTTTTAGATTTTGTTTATTGTTTTCATGTTTAAGTAGATGAGACGCTCAAAACGAAAATCGTACCGCAGCTCATGACGTCACACATTACCACGCGTGCCATACTTAATACTTCTCGTTTTCACTCTCGCGTGGTAATGTGTGACGTCATGAGCTGCGGTACGATTTTCGTTTTGAGCGTCTCATCTACTTAAACATGAAAACAATAAACAAAGAGTAAAATTCTTGAAGCTATATACATAAAACAGTTGAAACCTACCCTGAACAATATATATATATATATATATATATTTCAATAAAGGTGCAATTAATTTACAAATTCATGAATTATTCATACAAAAACAAATACAAAGGTTAATGCAAAAACCCCGAACCTGTTATGAATGAAAAGATCCTTGTTTTTATAAATTTCTCTTGCATTAGTTCTTATTTTTACTATATATATTTTTGTATATTATTTGAATTGTTCGCGACGATGGATTTCTCGCCAATTAAATCATTAACCTTTGTATTTGTTTTTTGTATGAATAATTCATGAATATATATATATATATATATATGAAGAAAAATTTATATTATATATAGTATATTTATGAATAAAAATGACAATAGGAAAACTGGTAATTGCTGACGCTATTTCGTCCAATGTGGATTTTTATGGAAAGCAAAATGATAAAATATCCAAATAAAATAGCTAATAAAAACAAAAGCAGAATTTTAACTCCAATGTCGGCACTATTTAGTCCATCAAATAAAAAATGACGTCAGGCGACCACTGTAAATATTGTCATAAAATATAGACATTGAAATTCAAAATATATGACTAGTTTAGATATACAATCTGCATATTTATACAAACGTCCCCATAGATAAATGTTTAAATTTACTTAAAGGGAAAAACAAATGTAAAAATCCAATTAATATTTCTACACACAAAATTATAAAACTTTGCCTTCTAAGCTATGTTTTTTTTTTTTAATAACCAACATTAAAAGACAGAAATTTGGTTTGCCAATGGGATTTCTCAGCGGCGTTCTTGCATGTCTATTTTAGTTTTTTAGAAAGTGACTTCATTCAAAATGCGTTTTTCAAACTTCTTCATATTTCAGATACATAGACGAGGGCAGTTATTAATAATTATTTTAAAAACACCAATTTAACGGATCTTCTCCAAACTTAACAACATTGAGCCTACAATAAACTTCTATAATGGAAACTGAAACCAACTACACTCTTCCGTTCCTGGACATTTTGTTAATTAGAAATAACAACGAACTCAATTTTGACGTTTACAGAAAGGCTACAAACAAAAATGAATCTCATCAGCTTCTTTTCAAACCACCCTTCAAAAATTAAATCTGGAATTATTATAGGTTTCTATCTAAGAGCATTAAGAATCTGTAGTCCTCAATATTTATTTAAAGAAGAAACATACATAGAAAACACATTCAAACACCTACAATAACCATATCATTTCATCCACAATGCAAGAAGAAAGGCATACAAAATATACAAACGAAACAAAACTAATAACACAATCCGCAATAGTAAATCACATGAAAACAGATACATAATTTTTACCGACCAATTCTGTCACGTCCACGATCCAGAATAACCTATCCCATCTAAATAATCTTGAAATAGTCACAAACACCTCCAAAACCATTATAGATATACTAAGATCTTCAAACAATAATAGCACTAATATTTAAGTTTGAAGCAGGCATTTATAAAATAAATTGCCAAAACTGCTCCTCCCAATATATTGGAGAAACAAGTAGAAGTTTGAAAAAAACGCATTTATGAGCACAAAAGAGACCTCACAAAAAACAACTTAGCTAATGCAATAGTCATACATAGAAATAAATACAACCATAATTTTGATTTTAAAATGCTACACTCATGAAAAAAAGAAAATAACTCACTCAGAAGGAAAATTCTGGAGAGTGCCGCCATAGAAAATTATCCAAATATTAATTTACGCCCAGGCTTTTTTCCCTATTTCACCTTTCTTAACAAAAATTAATGCTTTTACAAACAAATATGCACAACAGATTCATAAAATCGAAAGAAAATGGTTGAATACATCAACACAGATATAATGACAATATTCTCCACACGTGACAATCGCTGACGTCATTTTTCATTTAAAAATATGAAAATAGCGTTTCTCTACATTCCAGTTGCTAGGTACATTCTGTTTTTGTTTTT